CCTCGGGGGCCCCCCTGGGGGCCCCCCTGACTTCTTCGCCCCTCAGCTTCTTCAGCACTGGCTCGGAGACTCGGACTCCTGCTGCTGTTGATTTGTCTCCTGTGTCTGTGTCTGGGGCCTACAGGCCTGCTGCTGCTGCTGCAGCAGCTCCTGCTGCTGCTGCTGCTCTTCCTGCTGCTGCTCCTTCCGTCTCCACTGCTGCTGCTCTTTACCCCTTCTCCTCCGCTGTTTCCTCGTACACTGCAGCAGCAGCAACTCCGCTTTCTACGAGCCCGCTGCAGTACATGGGGCTGCCCCTCAGCTACGACAGCAGCAGCAGCAGCAGCAGCAGCAGCAGCAGCTTGAGCTCCAGGTATCCTGGCTACACTTCTCCAGCTGCAGCAGCTGCTGCCACTTACCTCCCCAGCTCTTACACTCCAGTGTCTCCTGTCTATTACGGCATGACCCCTAGCTACAGCAGCAGCAGCAGCAGCAGCAGCGGCAGCAGCAGCTACTACGGGTCTCCTTTCTCTAGTATGGTGCCGGGGCTGTACTTGTCTTCCTCAGCGGTTCCCATAACAATGCCTGCAGCAGCAGCAACAGTGCCAGCAGCAACAACAGCAGCAGCAGCAGCACCAGCAACAACAGCAGCAGTAGCAGCACCAGCAACAACCGCAGCAGCAACAGTAGCAGCAACAACAGCTGCAACAACAACGGAAGCAGCAGCACCAGCAGCAGCGCCATCACCCGCTTCTACTGCTGCTGGAGAGACAAGCAGCCAGTCTGCTGCTGGCCCCACACAAGAGCAGCAGCAGCAGCAGCAAACTGAGATGACCGCTGCAACTCCAGCAGCAGCAGCAGCAGCAGCAGCACAAGCAGAAACAGCAGCAACGGAAGCATTAGTAGAAACAGCAGCAATGAACTTGCCTGCTGCAGTCTTGGCGGAGCTCACTGAAACTATACGGACAAGAGAAGAGCAGCAACAGCAGCAGCAACAGCAGCAGCAGCAGCAGCAGCAGCAGCAGGCGATGTCTCTTTCGATGCTTCCTGAGGCCGTGGCAGCACTAGCTTCAGCGGCCCCACAAGAGTCACACACTGCAGCAGCAGCAGCAGCCGCAGCAGCAGCTGCAGCTGAAGCAGCAACAGCTGCAGCAGAAGCTGCGAGAGCAGCAGCAGCAGCAGAAGCAGAAGCTATCGCAAAAGCTGCTGCTGCAATGGCAGCACTGCAGCAGGCGTTGCAGAGCCCCACCTCTCCTGCTTTAGCAGAGACAGCAGCAGCAGAAGCAGCAGCAGCAGAAGCAGCAGCAGCAGAAGCAGCAGCAGCAGAAGCAGCAGCGGCAGAAGCCGCTGCAGCAGAAGCCGCAGCAGCAGCAGCAGAGACAGCAGCAGAAACAGCAGCAGTTGAGACAGCGGCTGCAGAAACAGCAGCAGCAGCAGCAACAGACGCAGTGTTGGTTATAGCTTCAGAAGCAGCAGAACAGCAGCAGGAAGCAGCAACAGCTGAAGCTGCTGCTGCTCTGTCTCGAGAAGAGACAGCAGCAACTGAAGCAGTAGCAGCAGCAATTCAGCAGACAGTCATGGAGAGAGTTCCAGAAGAACCTGCAGCAGCAGTTGCGGCAGTTGCAGCAGCAGCAGCAGCAGCAGCAGAACCAGAGACTTCTCAAGGCACACAAACCAACACAGAGATGGAGACACAAAACGCAGAAACGGAGACAGCCACTGCAACTGAGCAGCAGCAGCAGCAACAGGAGCAGCAACAGCAGCAGCAACAGACTGAGCAGGGGCAGCAGCAGCAGCCTGAGCAGCAACAGCAGCCTGAGCAGCAGCAGCAGCAGCAGCCTGAGCAGCAGCAGCCTGCAGAGCAGCAGCAGCAGGAATATCAGCCTCAACAGGAACAGCTGCAGCAGCTGGAGCAGCAGCAGCCCGAGCAGCAGCAGGCCCAGCAGCAGCAGCCTGAGCAGCAGCCTGTGCAGCAGCAGCAGCAGCAGCAACAGCAAGAGACAATTGAACACCCACCGCTATCTGCTGCAGTTGAGGCAGTGATCGCAGCAGCAGCGGAGACTGCAGCAACAGCAGCACAGCCAGCAGCACCTGCCCAAGAGGCAGCTGAAGCAATGGCAGCAGTGGCAGCAGCAGCAGCAGGAGCCACTGAACCAGCAGCAGCAACAACACAAGCAGAAGCAGCTGAAGCAGAAATGCAATCCGCCGCAGCAGCAGCAGCAACAGCAATCCCTGAGACTCTAAACGAGCCTTTGTCTCACCTACAGGCCCAAGCAGATGCAGAGCCTCACGAGCAGCAGCAGCAGCAGCAGCAGCAGCAGCAGCAGCAAGAGCAGCAGCAGCAGCAGCAGCAGCAGCAGCAGCAGCAGCAGCATGCGCCAGATATGGAGACTGCCTATGAGGCCACTGGGGCCCTGCCAAGTATGCCAGTTTCTGAGCAAGCAGAAGCAGCAACAGCAGCAGTAGCAGCAGCGGCAGCAAATGCATCTCCCCCTTCTCTCTCTGCTGTTCTCGACGAGGCAATGGAATTTGCAGCAACAGCAGCAGCAGCAGCAGAGCCGTCTGCTGCAACAGCAGAAGAAGAGGAAGCAGCAGCAGCAGCAGCAGAAAACGGGCTGCTGCCTTCTCTAGACTCAGAGGAGCCGTCGCTGCTGCCGGCCATCGATGAGCTGCTGGATTTCCAAAGGGAAGCAGCAGCAGCAGCAGCAGCAGCAGCAGCAGAATCAGCAGCAGCAGCACCCGAGGCTGCACCTGCAGCAGCAGCAGCACCAGCAGCAACGGCTGAGCAGCTGCTGCTGCTGCTGCACCCCACTGAGCCAAACGAAGAGGCGCAAATAGAAGCCCTCTACGAAGGCCTAGTGGCACAAGCTGAAAGTCAGCAGCAGCAGCAGCAGCAGCAGCAGCAGCAGCAGCAGCCGCAGCAGCAGCAGCAGCAGCAGCAAGAGCTGCAGCGCAGCGCACAGCAGCCAGAGCAAACCCAGGAGACACACGAGGAGTACAACGAGCAGACATACAGCACCCAGGAGCAGCAGCAGCAGCAGCCGCAGCAGCAGCAGCAGCAGCAGCAGCAGCAGCATGAGATCATCAGTCGCTTGCTCGGCAGCGGCGTGAGTCCTGCTGCTCTTGCAGAGTCCCTTAATAGATTGGCTGAGACTCTGGGCCTCACAACAGCCCCGTGGGTTCCTGCTGCAGCACCTGCTGCTGCTGCTGCTCCTGCTGCTGCTGCTGCGTCTGCTGCAGCAGCAGCAACTCCAGCTGCTGCCGCTACTACTGCTGACGCTTACCAACAGCAGGCTCTCCAAGCTGCAGCAGAGCAGCAGCAAGAAGACGCAGCGCCAGCCTTGCAGTACCACGAGGCAGAAGAACAGCAGCAGCAGCCGCAGCAGCAGGAGCAGCTGCTGCTGCAGCAGCAGCAGAACTCCGTTGTCGCTGGAGAGGAGCAGCAGGCATATGTTGTTGTCATGGAGGAGCCGCAGCAGCAGCAGCAGCAGCAGCAGCCGGAGCTGCAGCAGCAGTATGCCGTGGTCACTGAAGTGGAGCAGCAGCAGCAGCAGCAAACAGAGCCTCAGCAGCAGTACGTAGATGTGACTAAGGAAGAAGAGGAGCAGCAGCAGCAGCAGCAGCAGCCTGAGCTGCAGCAGCAGTATGCCGTGGTCACTGAAGAGCAGCAGCAGCAGCAGCACTACGTGCTAGTGCAGCAGCAACCGCAGCAGCACCAGTACCTCATTGCTGAAGAGCAGCAAGAAGATCAGCAGCAGCCACAGCTGCAGCAGCAGTATCTGGAAGCTGAAGAGCAGCAGCAGCAGCCGGAGCAGTATGTAGTAGTGGCTGAGGGGGAGGAAGAGCAGCAGCAGCAGCAGCTGCAGCAGCAATATGCCGTTGCTGAAGAGCAGCAGCAAGAAGAGCAGCAGCAGCAATACGCCGTTGCCGAAATGCAGCATCAGCAGCCCGTTGCCGAGGAGCAGCAGCAGCAGCCGGAGCAGCAGCAGCAGCCGGAGCAGCAGCAGCAATATGCCGTTGCCGAGGAGCAGCAGCAAGAAGGGCAGCAGCAGCAGCAGCAGCAGCAGCAACAACCAGAGCTCGAGCAGCAGTATCTTGTAGCTGAAGAGCAGCATCCCCAGCAGCAGCAGCAGCAGCCGCAAACGCAACAGCAGATTGTAGCTCATGAAGAACAGCAGCAGCAACCGCAGCAGCAGCAGCTTCTATCAGAGCAATATGCTGCTGAGGAAGAGCAGCAGCAGCAGCAGCAGCAGCAGCAGCAGCAGCAGAAATACAATGAGGTGCCGGAGGCCAATCCTGAGGACTCTGTGGGGGTTGTGCCGGCAGAAGTGCAGCAGCAGCTGCTGCAGCAGCATGTAGAGCAGCAGCAGCTGCTGCTGATGCAGCACGAGGAGGTGCAGCAGTATGCCCATGACCAGCAGCAGCAGCAGGAGCAGCAGCAGCAGCAGCAGCAGCATGAACAGCAGCAGAAAGAGCACCAGCACGAACAAGAGCAGCAGCAACGCCACGAGCAAGGCCGTGTGCACATCTTCTACAAACCTCAGCAGCAGCAGCAGCAGCAGCAGCAGCAGCAGCAGCAGCAGCTCTACAATGAATACGAAAGTACTGCTGCGTCCCCCCAAGACCAGGTGTACTCTGCATACGGAGAGGAGGAGGAGCATCAGCAGCAGCAGCAGCAGCAGCAGCCGCAGCAGGAGCAGCAGCAGCAGCAGACACCGCAGCTGCTGAGGCAACAAATGATGCGCCAGCAGCTGCAGCAAATGAAGCAAGAAGTTGTGCTGCAGGAGAGAATTACAGGCATAATTGACGTGCCAGACATAGAGCAATACTCGCAGCAGCAGCAGCAGCAGCAGCAAGAGCAGCAGCAGCAAGAACAGCCGCCGCAGCAGCACGAACAGCAGTCAGAGGCGCATCCGCAGCAGCCGCAGCAGCAGCCGCAGGAGCCAGCAGCGCAGCAGCAGCAGCAGCAGCAGCAGCAAGAACTGGAAGCAGAGAAGCAGCAAGATCTAACAAGACAAGAAGCAGCAGGTGAGGGGAAACCCCCTGTGCGGCTGCTGCAGCAAAGGGACAGCCGGAGGCGCCACCGGGGAATGGGGCGAGGGGGGCAGGTGTTTGCTGCTGCAGCAGACAGCAGCAGCAGCAGCAGCAGCAGCAGCAGCTATAGCGCTGCACCAGTCCCTTCTCGTGCGCGTCGCAGGGCCTACTACAGAAGAGAATGGGATGGGAGTGGCAGCAGCAGCAGCAACATCAGCAGCAACATCAGCCGCAATAACCGAGGCAGCAGCAGCAGCAGCCGCAGAAGCAATGAACTAAGGAGACACGGCAGCAGCAGCAGCAGCACGGACGTAGAAGAAGAAGAATTCGATTTCGAGGAAGAAGAGGAAGAAGAGCCTCCCAGCAGCAGCAGCAGCAGGAGCGGCAGCAGCAGGAGCAGCAGCAGCAGCAGCAGCAGCAGCAGACCAGTTGCAGCAACCAACACACCACGCAGCGTGATTAGGACAGGTGCAGCACCAACAGCAGCAGCAGCACCACGAACAGCAGCAGAAAGTGCAGCAGCAACCCCACACATTCAGTACGAACGCACCACCAACAGCAGCAGCAGCAGCAGCAGCAGAGGGAGCAGCAGCAGATTCCGCGCAGCAGCAGATGAATGGGAGGATGAGGGCGAGTGGGAAGAATAAAACAAATCACAATTCGCTGGCAAGTCGCCAGAAGCAGCAGCAGAAGCAGCAGCAGAAGCAGCAGCGGAAGCAGCAGCGGAAGCAGCAGCAGT